CGAGCGGCGGGCGCGCGCGGCGGTCGGTGCGAGGGGCGGGCGGGAGCGCGCGGCGGGAGCGCGCGCCGACGGGCGAGCGGCGGGAGCGCGCGGCGGGCGGGCGGGCGATTTCTTGGCACGCGGCGGGGGGTCTCTTTTGGCCGGCCCCGATTTTTTTTTCTGAGGGGAATATCATGCCTGTGTGAACAGCATTATTGTACGTGACCTCTGCAAAAGGCAGAAGGTCCACCCAATTGGATTGCTGATAATTCACGTAGCACCTCAGGTACTGCTCTATCATGGCATTCAATCTCTCTGCCCCCCATTGGTACTTGGATGAAAAGCCGAGCTAAGGCCCTGGGATGACCCAATAATCCGCAGGAACTCCCTCCAAAATTTGGCTGTGAACTGGACTCCTCTGTCTGAGATAATTCTCCGTGGTACTCCATGCAGGCGGTAAATGTGTTTCAAAAACAGCTTGGCTAACTGGTAGGCTGAGGATAACCCACTGCATGGTATGAAATGCACCAGTTTGGAAAATAAGTCTATTACAGTCCAGATCATTGTGTTTCCTACACTTTTCAGCAACTCTATTATGAAATCCATTGTGATCTCCTCCCATGGCCTCGTTGGTTCCACTACCGTCTGTAGCAATCTGGTGGGGTTTCCTGGTCGTTTTTTCATTGCGGCGCAGATGGTGCAACTCTTCACATCTTTCTTTATGGCAGGCCACCAGAATTGCTTCCGAGCTAAGTGTAAAGCCTTTAAGAACCCAAAGTGGCCTGCCGGTTTGGCATTGTGGCTCCTCAAAGAAGGATGGAAATAATAATGTAATTTTGTACAGTAGAGAAATCAACATCTAAAATATCTTAGAAGATACAAGAATCTCTAGTGTTAGAATTTGAAATTAGATTTATACTATTCATAAATTTAAAAGACTACAGAATTTGATGGACTCTCTATAGAAATATGGTAAGAAGACTCAGAAAAAGATTCCAAACCAAATTTTATAGCAAATCTGGAGAGTGACACAGTGACCCATAAATTGAAGAAGTCAATCTACATACCAATACCAAAGAAATATTTAATGAAATATTCAAACTCAAAATATCCTTAATTTCACATCCTAGGAAAACAATGGATGGAATCAATGCAGATTAGAGGACTACATGGTATAAGAGAGGCCAAATGTACAAGATGGGTTTCACAAATGTTGAGGAACAAGATACATTATTGTGGATGCTTGCTAGAGTTAGACAATTGAGAAAATAAAACAATAGAGAAAAAAGATAGTGTGTTTTATTGGTCACAGAAAGCCTTTGTTTGTATTGACCATTTCAAGCTATAGATCACCCTTAGCAAAACGAGAATTCCAAAATATATTATTGTCCTCTTGTGAAATCTACATCCAGAATAGGAAGCCACAGTCTGGATGAAATATAGCAAAACAGACTGGCTCCACAGTGACAAAACAGTGATACAAGGCTGTATACTATCTCATTAATTCAGTCTGTATGCTGAATACATATTGAAACAGGATTGATTAGAATAAGATGCACATTTAAAATTGATGGAAAAATGTAAATAACCAGCACTATACTGATTACATTACTCTCATAGATAAAAATGCAAATCATCTGTAAGGTCTAATAATGAAAGTAAGGAAGCATAAAGAAAAATGGAACTAACATTAAATGAAGACAAAGATATTGAAGTGTTGACAATTTATTCCTTTTAGGATTATCAGTAAAGGAAGCAGCATATAACAAATATACCTTGCATTAATGCACAGGATAGCTATGAGAGCCTTGGAAAAAAATGTTCAGATGTTATATCTGTATTTACAAAAATTAGCACTGTGCAGGCAGTACTTTCCCTGTGATGCTCTATGGAAGAGGCATTTTGGCTTTGAAGGACAGAAAGTATTGATGTTTTTGAATTTCAGTGTTGGGAGACTTGTGAGAATATAATAGCCAAGAAAATAAATAAATGGATAACAAAAACAAAACCCAGAATTCTCACTCAAGTCTCAAATTGTATTTTGGGCACATTACACGAAGGCCTAGTTTTCTTTAGAAGTCTATAATGCCTTATAACTTCTGTTGTATAACACGCATACACAAGATTATAGTCCTAGTAATATAGCAATCTGCAGGCACTGAGTTATATTTTCAGCCACATCTGCTTGGCCGTATGTAATGTGAGAATAATCTTAGGAACGGAAAGAACTGCAACCAAGACAATAAAATAAATCTGAGGTCAAATGGAAATGGAACTTGAGGAAATGTCTCAGACTTGACTCTCCCTAGTTCTGTTATAAAGGCAGGGAAGGGGAAGGCACTTTCAAACTTGCAAGATTCTGTTACTATAACTCCATAATAAGTAGTGTTAGTATACATAGCTTTGATTTTCTAGTCTGGTCTACCTCAAATGGGGAGAAGGCAGCTGACTGAGCAGTGAAGCGGCGCAGACGAGTACCAGCTCCATGAAGTCCCACAGATTTCTTCATGTCTGGGGGCTCTACAGAGCCGAAAGTCACCCTGGAGATGGGATGAAGGCAGGGAGGATGCTTCGGTGGTCGCGAGGAGAGCGCAGTTTCCTCGAGTGACCCAAGAAAACTCCTTGAACCTGCAAGAAGAGAGAATGGCCATCATGGCTGAACCGAAGTCATGAAGACAGCTGGGACAGAAGGGAAGAAAGCAATGGTAGCAGTGTGCTTGGTTCGGGTAAGAAATCTTTCTAGATTTTGCCATGGAATCTTTTCCAAAGCACCCCCCTTGGAAAGTGGGACTCAAGGGAGGTAACTAGCAGCGAATAAGGATTTGGAGCTATTGTCAGATTTGGCTAAGAAAGAAAAGAAATTGGAGGCAGAAATAAAATTTAAGAACAAAGGACAGATTGGACGGATTAGCTCTTTAAAAACTAAATCCTTTCAAATTCTGGATTATATTTTCACGATAAAGGTAAAGGGTTCTCTGTCCAGTCATGTCTGATTCTAAACTGATGTTTCTTAGCTGAGGAAACCAGCATTGTCTGAAGGCATTTCTGTGGTCACGTGGCCAGCATGACTATACACCAAGGCGCACAAAACACTTACCTTCCTACTGAATGGTACCTATTTATCTACTAGCATTTGTATACTTTTGTGTGCAGCACTCAGATCACAAAGGGCTTAACATCTTTAACCACTGAGCCACAGCAACTGATATAGTTCTGTCCTATACTCAAGCCTGAATCATGATTGAAAAATCCAGATAATCTGTTTCATTCCAAGTTTTCTGTAATTGCAGTCTTATCTTTCCAACAACTTTAAGATTTTAAGATAAAAGCCCATGTGGATTAAGTGCACATGGTTTCTGAAATTTGGAAATGTCTATTTAAAAATGTGTATTGTCCTGGTGCTTGTCAAATGCCATTAGTTTTGCAAGCTTTAACTCTTTTATATTTTAATCCACAGAATTTGTGGATTCAGCATCTATACAGCACTTGCAATAAAGCCCAAAGATTCAGCCTTAGCTACTGGTAGAATTGCATCAGAAAAGCAGTATTAAACAACTCTAGTTCAACCATATATGGATCAGACAAAAAAAAAATCCAAAAGTAAAACTCCTAAGGATTTTAGGAATTAAGGAAAAAAGGATTTAAGAAAATAAGAATTGTTCCAATTAATGTGAGCTGCCTGGGATTATTAAAAAAATAAAATTAATGCACTGACATGGAAAAAATGAGCTAACTGTTCAGAGTCCAATACCAATCTTATTAGAAAGTAACATTTATGTATGATGTGTAATTGTGTATTACTGTATCATCTAAGGGAGTTTATATCTGAATGAACAAGCCCATAGGGGTATACCACTGGATCCATGAAACGCATAAAACCACAAGGCAATCTCAAGGCAGCAGGAGGCAGCACCCAACGCAATCCAAAAAGCTAAAAAACGTGGCACCGTTACTGGGTTGTGAGATTGGACCTAAATTTCAGAGCTGAAAATGGACTGGGCACCCAGTCACAAAATCATCCTCAAGAAGACATCCTCAAAGCGTTTCTCTTTTCTTACCAAGAAAACAACATGTAGGTGTTCATGCGCTTAGCAAGAGTCAAGCTGGACTGAGAGGGAGGGGGATTTTATTTTCACCTAATGCAATTAGTTTACTTTTGGAATAGCGCTATGTGAACTTCTCCCCGCTAGTTTGAAACACGTGGGTTACTACTATTACTCGAGAACAACGTGGAGGTAATTGTGCCTCGTTTCAATCGGCCGTGATGAAACGAGCCGTGCTTTAGCGTGAAAGTTGAACGTGTGTGTATGTGAAATAGGGAGGGTCGAAAGCGCTGAAGGAAACCTATTGGTAGCTGTCAAGTATTGTATTTTATGCCTTCTTGGTCCTTAATATTCACAGAATAATTACCGGCGCTTTTCAAAATAGTGCTTCCTGCCTTTCGTGGAGGAAGGTTACTAACAGAAGTGCTCGGCGCAAAGGAAATATTAATTTTTAGAGCACCTAGCAGTTTCGCGCTATTTCAGCAGAAAACAAGGTTTAGGAGGAGGCGCTTTTAGCGCGACGCCTCGGTCGGTACCTTTAATTCTCCCGAAAAGTCTCCTCGCACCACCCTTGGTTTGCTTGGGGTGCCGCCCATTGTAGACCCTCCTTCCCTCGCTGCCTCCCAACCGGGGACGGTCAGGAAGGCGGTGCGGTTGGGCAGCCATTTTGTGGCGCTGCTCGGTCGCTGGCGCCGGGCTCGGCGGCGAATTGGTTTCTCTCTAACCCTTTTTTCCCCGTACAGGCTCCTCGGTAAGAACACTGAACTCTCCTGCCTCACTGAGGAGCGAGGGGAGACCGGACTTGCCCACCCCGCTGCAAGCGAAACACGGCGCTCTTTCACTGCGGCTGCACAAAGGCGGCGGCGCGGAGGGGGGCGGGAATTAGGCCTGAGGGAAATTCCAGAGCCTCGTTGCCTTCTAAGTCTTAGAGCCATGATGTGGGGTGATCGGTACGATTTGTTCGGAGGATGTGTAACGTCCCCCATGGTATATATTAGTTTTGGCGCGCAGGTTTGTGTCGTTTCTGTGAATGGCTGAGCGGGCAGTGAAGAACTGCCTATAGGCCTCCTCGTTTTGTTAACCCCGTTTCTTTTGGGGTAGGTGAGTATTAGTGCTCCTACCGTAAATTGGCTGCATGAAGCCAGGCTTCTCCAGGGCCTCCTGAGGCCTAATTTGATGTCGCTCGCTGGTCGCCCGGCCAAGGAAAAGTGCAAGCGCCCTCGTTAAAAGGGAGGGAAGCGAAGTGAGGCTGTTCTGGCTTTTAAGCCAAGATGGCCTTGGCTGCGGAAAATGCAACGATCACAGCTACTACAATACGTCTGCTTCTTTTCTGGGTTGGGAGTTGAATAAAGTTGCTCTCTTGCGCATATTCGTAGTGATACTTGGCTTAATCTAAAAACGCTATTGTAATCCTTGATCTTTTCGGACTGATCACGAGTGTCATTTTGTACAAGTTCCGGTATTGGTGTGTATTTGTTTTTGTTTTAATCGTGAATGGTCTTAAGGCATGCATTGACTACACTTTTTCATTACGTAAATGCGAAATCTGAAACTGGTCCTTGGATGCAAACAATTTTGTGATGTGATAACAGGCGAAAACAAATGTCAGTATTGGTTAAAGTGATTTAAAGGAAATATTTGGTGTATATGTTCAGCCTGGATGTTTTTTTTTTTAAAAAAGATATGTTGAAAAAGAAATAAATCTATTTGTTCTGGAAAGATGAGGATCAAAATAATTATATATAGAATTTAGTCATATGCTTTGAAATATCTTGATAATATAGAGCTGTATTGGATACTTTATTATGTTGACTTGTTTTTCATGTTGTAGAATGGTATAAATGCAAAAAAAATCCTAAGCAGAAGCAATAATTGATGTGAATTCATAGATACTTTAAAAAGAAATTTAAATGTTGAAGTACAAATGGATAAAACAGCTTTATAAAAGTTTTCAGAAATAAGATTTGGTATTTTGAGTTCGGTTAACTTGAATTGGAAAGCTTGGCTGTGATTTTGTCTTAATATTGACTTTTCAGCTGTGTGAATTAATTTATTTTTGTTTTCTTATTTCTGTTCTCTTCCCAGATGTTGGGTAAGCACATTAAGTCTGCAATGATAGTGTCTAACCGAAGGATCCAAGAAAATGTTGATAAACTGTTTATACTGTAGAATATTTCACTTTGTCATACTTTCACAAGTATCATAGTTCCATAGGACTTTGATGTGTACTTTCAAAATTCAGTTGCAGATGTTAGAAGTGACATTTGTGAAAATTATTAGCAGAGTTACCAGCATTGGAATGATGAAGATCAGAAACAGATATTGCAGAAAATATTAGTCTCTCTCTACACATACACACACCACACATTTTGTTGGTTTAAATATATAGTCATGCATAAAGTTTATACAAAATAGAAGCAAGGGGAAAACAGCATGTTGACAGGTTCTTTTTAGTAGAAATATCAAATAAACTACAGCTTCTAGCATGTCTTACAGACAACTTCTGAATGTTTATATGAAAATGAAACTGCAAAAAGTTCAAGATTTTCATTTCAAGTGAACAAAAGTATAATTTGTGCCAATATATTTCATGAACCAGCATGAATATTTAGCAGCCTTGTTTAGAAAGCCAGTATTCTGGTCAGTTTTCTAGATTTGGAGGTGGTGTTTTTTTCCTTGCTAATATTTGAGGCTTTAATTTGAATTTGGTGGAAAGTATTAATCGTGATTATGTTATGCCAGTTTTAAACACTTTTGATAAATTATTGGAATACAGGTCAATAAAAACGTCCTTTCTGAAATGCTTAAATACCCTTGGTTAACAGCAGTACTTGTTGAGGCGTTCATGACATTTTTATTCTGTTTTATTGTTGGTTTAGTTTTCTTTCTTTAAATGGGATATTATTTTAGATTTTGTAGTTACTGGGTGCCAGATTATAGATTTGTACTAAAGGAGGTATTCCTAAACTGCCAAAATGGACAACCTTGCTGAATGTTTGGTACTTTTTTTGATTGTGGAATAATATTTTGGTCTACTCCATTGAATGGAATTGTCCTGTTTCTAATTTGCATTGGATTATATCATTTTAAATAACTCTGAATTGATCAGTGATAGTTTTATAGAAAAATATTTGACGGAAGGTTGATGTATGGTATTGAAGATTTAATCTGATTTCTGCAACTGTGGCAGGATCTCAAAGGCTATTAGAGGGGTTTTTCCTATATAATTGGATGATAAATTCCAATTTTTCTTGATAGGGGAAAAATAATAATCTTTTTGAAACCAGTATTGGCAAATTATATATCTAATGAGTATATAAGTTTGAGAGAATACAATATGTTATGGTTTTTTACTTTATTTTCATGTTTATGTTTGTATTTTGATATAAAATAAATACTAATTGCTGTTATTGTGAGCTAGTGTGAGGGACAACAGAAGTTTTAATTTGGGCATGCTCAAACTTGTGGTTTGCTATATGTTGGGAGTACTTTATCATGGTTTTGCCCCCAAGGTTTCTTTAATGCACAGTTCAGAATGGACTGTTAACTTTAGCTATATGTTGCTTGCATTGATTTTTGCCTCCATTTATTCTTTATTGCAGTCTAAAAGTTGGTTTTAATTGGTTGCCCACAGGATTGACTTGGCTTCTACTACTTGTTAAGGAAAAAAAAAACATCTCTCCTTGCAGGTAAGATGCTCTCAAAATATATTCATGATTAATGAGCACAATTTGACAATTCAATATTATTTTGCGGTGATTTTGAATATATGTATTGATTTTAAACATTTCAGTCATCAAAACAGTACAGATTTTTTTCCTTGATGTTCTAGTTTAATATACACATAGACACACACACACATTCAATGAGAGAGGTTGTATTAATGAATATTTGGACTTTATTCACTTTAATAGATTTAGAACATTTCTTGAATATATGGATAGGCTGTTTTTCTCGAGAATGCAATATTATGCTGCTTGTATGTGTTGGTTGGTTATACTTTCAATATGAAGAGGCTGTTTATATACAATCATTCTGTTTTGTATTTTAAAAGAATATTTTTTATTTCTTTACATTTTAAATTGTTCTAAATAGGCACCCTATGACAAAAAATCTGTGGTTTTAGATATTAGAGCTTTATAAAGTTGGTTTATCATAGTTCCCTTTTTTATTTTGCTCTATCTAAAAGGTAGAGTAGCTATCAAAGTATAAAACATTACTATATGCCAATAGCATAGTGAAGATATGAAAACGAATAAAAGACTGAAATTATTATAAAATTTTTCACTGTCATCATGAAGATAAATAGTCATGTGAGTTTTTTAAAGCTATATCTGCCTCTCATATCTATCCAGTATTAATTTTGAAGTATAGAAGAAGGTGCCTAATGTCTATTAGTACAGGTAGTCTTCAACTTACGACCACAACTGACCCAAAATTTCCTTTCCTAAACAGTTGTTTTGCCTCATTTTACAACCTTTCATGCATAAATCACTGCAGTTAGGTTAGTAACATAGTGATTAAATGAATCTGGCTTCCCCATTGAGTTTGCTTGTCAGAAGGTCGCAAAAGTTGACCACATGATCTTGGGATAATGCAACTGTCATAAATATATGCCATTTGCCAAGAATCTAAATTTTTGGTTATATGACCATGGAGATGCTGCAATGGTTGTAAGTGTTAAAACTGGTTATAAAGTCATTTTTTTCAGTGCCACTGTAACTTTGGTCACTAAATAAATGGTTGTAATTTGTGAACTACCTGTATTTTGGGCAAATTTATTAGACCAAATTATTTGATTACAAAAATGTAGCTATCTACATTGATCTCAAAATTGGTTATGGTTGCAGAGAAAGTTTTGGATATTAACTCTTTCAGTTAGTAATTGCTTTCTTAGGTGGTAATTGCATTTGCTTAGTAATTGGAATGCATAGTAACTTATGTGTTATATTAAAGCATATAAGTATTTAACACATGATGTATTTATATGGATCTTGAAAAATCTCCAGCTTACCATCAGCCAGAACTTGTAGAGTTCTTACACATATTTTATATATTTTCACAATAGTTGGCCTGCTGTTGTGACTTTCCTTATATTTGACCTATCAGGTGATGGCCACAGAGAAAGGCAAATAGTTTGGCTAGGTCTTCAAACCTGTAATTTGTTTAATAATCAGTAAAGCTCTTAAAATCTGAATAAAAGCATCAGTCAGATTTGAATATTTATTTGATTCATAATATCTGAATCTTTGGAAAATGTGAATACCGTATTTGCCGGCGTATAAGACGACTTTTTTGCCCCGAAAAACATGCCTCCAAGTGGGGGGGTCGTCTTATACGCCGGTATATCCACTGCCGGCTTTCGGAGGCTTGTTGGACGCAGCGAAGGCGCCTCTGGCTTCCTGGATCCCCTGCGTCGCTTCCGCTTCATCCCGCTCGCCTCGCTCCGCCCGAGGCTGCAGCCTTACTGCTCTTCCCACGGCCCCTGGCACTCTGCCCTGCCGCTGCAGCCCCGGGGATTTCTGGAGGGCGTTTCCGGTGGTGGTGGGGGGTCGTCTTATACGCCGGGTCGTCTTATACGCCGGCAAATACGGTATGTGGATTGTTAATGCAAAACAAACCCCTTAAGTCTTTATAATACAAGAAAAGGCTAAAGCAATTACATCTCCTAAAAGACTGAGTAGACCACTTGGTTTTGCCACTCAACTTACAAATTTATTCATGGTAGGTTCTACAGTCCAAAGGCAAATGTGTCTAAGCATTTAAATACGTCTCTTTTATTCCTGGTTGATCAATGATGATCAATATTACTTTCTACTAAATACTTGCTTTTTATAGTAAATACTTTTAATATTGACAAATTGGACTGCTTCTAATGTTTTTAACTTTTAAAGCATTAGGCATATTTACATAGGAACTCAATTTTGAACTAATTCCTTGTGTATTATATATATTGGCCTTACATTATAATAAACTCAGATTTGTAGCTAAAGTTAACTAGTTTGTGTGGACTTTGAACTGTCTTCCATTTGAGTAACTGATAATATCTGTTATGGTATTTGGAAGATTTTATTTTCTTTAACAATATTGGCCAATAGTAATTTTAATACATATAAAAAATTTGCTAGCATGAAAAATTACTACATAAAATAACCTCTGTATATATTTTTTGATATTAAATCGTGATTTTGGAAATAAAAAGCATATAAGCATCAATCATGATTAGGTAAAAAATGTATTGGTACAGTTTGATATTAGCTTTAAGAAATTTTTCCATAGTGCACTTATGACATGGCATTAGCTGTAGTTAGCCAATCATCTTCCTCCCAAGCTGATACTCTTGACAGCTTTTACAGAGGGGAACCTGCAATTCCTGATTTTTGAAAACAATATGCATGCATACTTAAATCAAGTTTTAAACCATCAAGTATGAAATAAGAGATTGCTAATTCTTCATCCCTTTGTTTTCACAAATAATGTCCTTCATTACTGAAGGTGAAGAAATAGATATGGTGAAAGTATCTCTGTTTAGCATAAGGTTTACCACTCTAACTCATTTTCCAAATTATTTGTAAAAATAATAAAGGCAGATATGAAAATAGTGTTTAATTATGTCTGGGTTATCAGTCTGGGTACATACGACATGCTTGACATTTTGGTTAGTGGAAATTCATGTTTGACCACGTGAGCCCCCATCTGGTGTCACTCTTTATAATCATATAGCTTTCATGTAGGAAACTATGCTACCAAATCCAGAGCAGTTGCCAATTCCAATTTGACAAAAATATGAAAAACTGATTACAGTTCTGCATACCTACAGTATTGTTTTAAAAATTCAGGAGATGCAGGCTTGCCTCTGCCGAAGTCATTAGAGTATAACTTGACATTTTGATTAGCATTAAAGAAAATGGCAGGTAGTTGAAAATTGAATATTTAATCATAGAAACTGACTGGGAGCTGCATTCAGGGGTAGTAGCACACTCATTCACCAGGAATCTGACTAACTTTTAAAACAGTCAGGTATGCTCAAATGGGTCTGTGGTTTGATGATCTAGCCTGAAGAAAAACATAGTACAGGTTCAGATATGATGTAACTTATGTTGTGAATACAGTATAATACACCCCAAATAAAGAATGCTTCTGGCCTTCTGATTTGGCACAACTTCTTGTCCATGATACAAGAAACCCCAGTTGTGCTGTATAAGATGACACAAAATTGCCTTCCCAGTTTTCTCTTGTCATTAATTTTATTTAATTATTATACATTTTTCAGGTATGGTAGTATTAATCTCAGTTTTAATAGCAGAATTTATGATGTTGCCAGTGATTGTATATCTACATGTTCTGCAGAATTTGTAGACCATCATAGTCTTACCACTCCCAATTTCAATGTCTTCTCAGTGTATCATATACAGGTAGTCCTCAACTTATGACTGCAGTTGAGCCCAAAGTTGCTAAATGAGACATTAGTTAAGTGAGTTTTGCCTCAGTTTACGAACTTTCATGCCACAGTTGTTAAGTGAATCATTGCAGTGGTTAAGTTAGTAACATGTTTAGTAAGTGACTATGGCTTCTCCATTGATTTGCTTGTTAGAAGGTCGCAAATATTGATCACATGACCCTGGGACATTGCAACTGTCATAAGCATCTGAATTTTGATCATGTGACCATGGGGGTGCTGCAACGGTTGTAAGTGTGAAAAACAGTCAAACCTTTTTTTTTTAGTATCTTGTAACTTTGTTCACTAAATGAACTTTTGTAAGTCGAGGATTACCTGTATTGATGAATGGATGGCTTTGTTGTATCATTAGTTTTAGTATATGTAGAGATACAAATGCATACATGTATTTTAAAGGAGAATTAAACTAATTTCTTTTGAAGATTCTAGCAACATGAGCTATTATTAGTTTCCTGTCTTATTTTATCTGTATTATAAATTCTAAGCCATTGGTTGAGCTTTCATTCTTAGGACTATTAGTTTTTGGTGGTTTCAGTTAAAATTAATGTTCTCTGCAACCATAAGGAGACTTTTGCATCAATTGAATGTACAAGATTAGAAATGCAAATTATAAAGCATGAAATAATTAAAAACAAGGCAAATTTAAAATAAAAGCTCAGTCAAGTAAAAGTTTGATGAAAGATGAGTTTTCATACTGTTCTTAAATTCTATGGTAATATGGCCTGAACAAACCTCCTTGGAGAATGTATTCTATAGCTAGGGAACTCTGCAGTAGAGGATTCTCCTGTGTATTTGATGGGTAAATTTTTGACAGTTTGGGAGGTGGATTTTCAAAAGATCCCTTTCTGCTTAATTAAGTAACCAGGCAGGCAGATGGATAGAGGGAAAGGTAGTCTTCATGAAAATGCTTTTAAAGATTGGGATTTTTGAAATGATGAAAATCTTAATATAGCAGATTTTTTCAATCCCAGCATTCTTTTTAATGTTGTTTGGAAGAGGATTTCCATGTTAAATCAAATGTTAAATAATAATTCTTGATAGTGTATTCATTCATAGATATTCCTGATCTTTCATTATAGAAACATTTTTGTCATTGCTACTTAGCTGAATCAGAGATGTTCATGACTATATTTTAATAATGTCAGTAGTGGAAACATTTTATTGGTTTTATAAAGACTGAAAAATAAAACTGCTGGTTTGGTGCCTTTTCCAAAAAAGTAGAAGGTTCTATAGTGGCTAGGAATTCTAGTTTTTTTGTCCAAATACAGTGTCAGATTTCTAGTTTACACGAAAAAATTACTGTAGTAGAGAAAAGGAAACTACCAAGGGATGAAGAGGGGCTATGAGCAGGATGCAAATATGCTAAGTGATTGGATATCTAGAACTGTGGTTTTAATAATGCCTAATTATCTTTAAAGAGCTCTTTGGTATAGTTTGAAACTGAAATATAAGCTTTGATTTATAATTTTTCCAGCTTGCTTCAAATGCAATATGTGGATTGGATTGTGTAAAGTTCTGATTTGATGCTCTTTTGGAGGTTTTTCTTTTCTTTTCGTGCCAATTCTTGACTGGATTCAAACTAACAGCTTTGTCACTTCATGTTACAGTTTACTTGAAAGACCTGTTATGATCTTGCTTTTATATTAGTCTATGTAGAAAGTACTATGTAAACAGATGTAGAAAATAGAATTCTCATTCAAGATCTTCAGGAATTTTAAAAAGTAATAATTTCTAGATTAAACATGTGGTATCATGAATAGTCTGACCTAGTCGTTGCTTTTCTCATCTGCAGGTGTGTGTATTTCAGCGCAGCATGGCTGTGGTCATCCGTTTACAAGGTCTCCCAATTGTGGCGGGGACTATGGACATTCGTCACTTCTTCTCTGGATTGACCATTCCTGATGGGGGCGTGCATATTGTAGGGGGTGAGCTGGGTGAGGCTTTCATCGTCTTTGCCACTGATGAAGATGCAAGGCTTGGTATGATGCGCACAGGTGGTACCATTAAAGGGTCCAAAGTCACCCTGTTGCTGAGCAGTAAAACTGAAATGCAAAACATGATTGAACTCAGTCGTAGGCGTTTTGAAACAGCAAATCTAGATATACCGCCAGCAAATGCTAGCAGATCTGTTCCACCGCCTAGTTCTGGAATAAGTAGTAGGGTGACTCTTTCTACTACAGTATCTAATTTTAACAGTCCTTCTCCTAGTGTAGTAACTGCAGCTACTTCAGTTCACGAAAGCAACAAAAACATACCAACATTTTCCACTGCTAGTATGGGAACTGCACCTCCCAATTTGGGTGTTACTTTTGGAAGTCCCACTTTTAGCTCTACTATTTCTAGTACTGCATCACCAATGAACACAGTTCCACCTCCACCAATACCTCCTATTCCAGCTTTACCATCACTGCCCCCAATGCCTTCTATTCCTCCCATACCTGTTCCTCCTCCTGTTCCTACATTGCCTCCTGTGCCTCCTGTCCCCCCAATACCTCCTGTGCCTCCTGTCCCACCTATGACATCTCTGCCTCCTTTATCAGGAATGCCTCCTATGAATCCCCCGCCTGTTGCTCCTTTGCCTGCTGGAATGAATGGGTCTGGAACAGCAATGAATTTAAACAGTAACTTGAATCCAATGTTCATGAACCCTATAAATGCTATTCAGATCAATTCTCAAAGTAGCGTGAAATCTCTTCCTATCAATCCAGATGATTTGTATGTCAGTGTTCATGGAATGCCATTTTCAGCAACAGAGTCTGATGTCAAAGATTTTTTCCATGGACTCCGTGTGGATGCAGTACATATTCTGAAAGATCATGTGGGACGAAATAATGGAAATGGACTAGTTAAGTTTTGCTCTCCTCAAGATACATTTGAAGCATTGAAAAGAAACAGGATGCTGATGATTCAGCGTTATGTCGAAATTAGCCCAGCAACAGAGAGACAGTGGGTTTCTGCAGGAGGTCATATAACATTCAAGCAAACTATGGGTCCTTCTGGACAAAACCATCCTCCTCAAACTCTCTCTATGACCAAATCTCCTAATGGACAGAAAAGATCCAGATCCAGATCTCCACATGATCAGGGTTTCTGCGTTTATTTGAAAGGTCTTCCCTTTGAATCTGAGAACAAACATGTAATTGATTTCTTTAAAAAACTGGATATTGTGGAAGACAGTATTTACATAGCTTATGGACCCAATGGGAAAGCACTTGGTGAAGGTTTTGTTGAGTTCAGAAATGAAACTGACTACAAAGCAGCTTTGTGTCATCATAAGCAGTACATAGGAAATCGTTTCATTCAAGTTCATCCCATAACTAAAAAAGCTATGTTAGAAAAAATAGATATGATTCGGAAAAGACTACAGAATTTCAACTATGACCAGAGAGAAATTATGATAAATGCAGAAGGAGAGACGAGCCCATCTAAACTCTGTGCACACATATCTAATATCCCCTACAATATTACCAAAATGGAAATTCTTCAGTTTCTTGAGGGGCTGGCCATAGAGGAGAGTTCTATACAGATACTTGTTGATACTAATGGACAAGGATTAGGACAAGCGCTGGTCCAATTCAAAACTGAAGAAGATGCTCGTAAGTCAGAGCGCCTGCATCGAAAGAAACTGAATGGGAGAGATATTGCCTTGAGAGTGATTTCTCTTGAAGAAATGAGAGAAATTGAGAGAAATCCTTCCTCTCAGGGGAAAAAAATGTTGAAAATGCCATTGCAAGGAGGTACAGCAATACCAGGAGTACAGAATGCTGGTGGGGATGAGCATTCTTTCATAAGTGGTACTTCAAAAGATGGAAAGAGTGGTCCTCCTTTTCATTTTCCTGGCAATTTCAGTGGTTCTAATGTATTTGGTCCTCCTCTTCCACCACCAGGAATAGGGGGAGGTGGTTTTGGTGACTCCAGACCAGGAATGCCTGCTATTGGAAGCAGTGGCTTGCCTGTTCTGCCTGGTACAGGTATTGATGTCCCAGGTTTTGGAGGTGGGCCTAGTAATTTAACAGGGCCCTCTGGTTTTGGGGGAGGTCCTCAGAATTTTGGGAATGGTCCTGGTAATTTAACTGGTCCTCCTAGTTTTGGTAGTGGACCTCCAGGACTTAGTACTGGGCTTGGACATATAAGTGGACCTCCAGGGTTTGGACCTGGACCTGGAAACATGCATATTACTGGGCCACCTGGGTTTGGAGCTGGGTCTGGTAAGCCGGGGCCTACTGTCATTAAAGTTCAAAATATGCCCTTTACTGTATCAGTGGATGAAATTTTGGATTTTTTCTATGGTTATCAAGTAATCCCAGGTTCAGTGTGTTTAAAATACAATGAGAAAGGCATGCCTACAGGTGAAGCAATGGTTGCATTTGAATCTCGTGATGAAGCAATGGCAGCTGTGGTTGATCTGAATGACAGGCCAATAGGCTCACGGAAAGTCAAGCTTGTTCTAGGTTAGTTGGAGTATAACATCCTTGTAGACTAGATATTAGTGCTGTGATTTATGCATTCAGACTGTTTTATAGTAGCTCCAGGTAGAAACTATAATTTGTTTAAACTACAAATTTGTTTTGATAAAAATGAGAACACTGGTCTAACTGTTTACAGAACAATTGCTGCAAGAGAAAATATGCATCAGAGTGGATGTGCAGTTCTGCCAGTACAGATACATGGAATTCTCATCAATAGAGAAGTTTTATAATGCTCAATTGACCATGAAATATTCATCATGGAGTCCAGATTGGTTTCTTGAAAGTTAGGAAAGTTGAAAAAAATTGTCATGATGAAGTTAGTGATCTCTTAGTGGGTGCTATTGAAGCCATTGTAAAATAGAAACTAGATATTCATAGAGTTGGTTAAAAGCTGGCTAAATTTCTTTGTTAACACAAGTCAAAGATTTTTCTGTTTTTAAAGTCTTACTTTGCAACTGAATAAAGTCAGTGTATACACAGATTGTTTATGTACTTGTTTTCAAAGATTCTTGGTATATGGACAGTGAAATTACAGAGACAGGTGGTTTTCCTATATATGAACAGAACAATCCGTAAAATTCCAGCTTTTTTGTGGAATAATTTTAGTTATTGCAACTGATTATATAGAATATAAGATATTTGCCACAAGTGCAGGTACCCTTGTTGTCGTTCTGCATCTTTATTCACTGTATGATTAAAATGAATACGTGAAGGTGCCATGCAATGCCATAACTTGAAAAAAAAATGTTTGATTAGATGGTTTTGTTAGGATTGTATGTTACAGTTGGAATAGGATGCTTATCATTTGGTTTTTGTACACTGTATGTTGTGTATCTTTTTGAATCACATTCTTATAAAATCTCTTGGTTTAATACGTGAACATAAGGGACTGATGCGAAGTGTTAATGTTAGTTATCATTTGTGTTACTATTACTTCTTGAACTTTTGTGAATTATTACTATGGATCACTTAAGACATTAAAGCTTTGCAAACATATCCCAGTACATTTGAGTTCTTACAGTCTCTACAATGGCTTATATTTTCACTTTCAATCTAGTGTTTTTTTTAGTAGGATTTTTTAGGAAAGAGAAGATACCATTATATAGAGAAATCAAAGTAGAAATTTGGACTATTCATGATTAGAGTTCAAAAATGGAAAGATTGAAATAAGTTGTTTGAAAAACCCTTTGAAAATCATTGTATTTTAAACAACTTAAAAGCTATTCTGTTCTTAGTTAAACAGTGTCTTTTGAGTTGTGTATGATGGAACATTTGAAGTGCACAGCCTGTTTTGATATAGAAATGCAAGTGGCGACTGTTCTATTCACCCAGTGTGTAAGATGGATGCAAAATCCTATTGAATGCTACATCAGGAGAGGATTTTTTGCAGTTCAGTAATTTGAAAGACTGTGTGAAGGTGTTGCAATGAAGAGGTGGCTGCATTACAACTATTGTAATTCATGGATTTGAAATTGCTTTGACAGGAACTGAGATGGTGCACTCCTGAAAAATGACATGATTGATTGTACTACACTGTTAAACTTACTAAGCCTCTTGTTAATAAAGCTGTCTTTCTGAAGATTTGAGCTATCTATTTTTAATTGTTTGGTGTACTTCAACAGCAAAGGCCAATAAAAACACAGAATTTGGGTTGGTGATATGGCTAGGAAATGAAAATTTCTATTTTGAAAATCATTATTTAATGCGGGGAGTGTTTTCTGTGAAGCAAAAAATCTCAGTTGAATCCAGATTAGATGTTCCAGAAATAAAGCCCCATTTATTTATGGGTGAAAGGGAATGGAGAGACAGTTTCATTGATTTCCTGTTTTGCTGCAGCCTTGAATATGGTCTCATGTTGCTCTGGTAAGTTCCCATGTCTTCAAAGACAAATTTTCAGGAGACAAAGGAATCATTCAGTAATTGCCTCATTGTTTCTTTTCGGTACATGGGAGTCCAGCTCACTGAACAATAAAATTGAGAGGTTGAAAGCTCCTCTCCATGAAGAAAAAGACTTCAACTACTCAAATAAAACTTTCATGAGCTGCAGTTTTTTCTGTAAGTGGAGTGGTATCTTCGGTTCCAGCTAGATATTTTAATTGAACAATTGGTTAAGAAAGTAGTGTGTGACTTACTCGATACTTAAAATTGCATCTCAGCATTGCTTTTCGTGGTGTGAAATGCAATTAAAGTGCTGAGTTTCTTATTTAATAATTATATGACTTTCTCGTAGTATTTGAGATGGGAGTATTAACATACTTCTGCATATTCTAGAAAATATTGCAGAAGTGTGAGATTCTTGTACATAAGTACTTCAATATTGCTTTGTAGATGGTATTGGATATCCCATCTCATTGCTTCAGTAGTTTTTAATACATTAAAAATAATACACTAGTATGATTTATCAAAAATGTTTTATATCTCTTGAATTGAAAAGAAAATAGAAGTCACAAACAAACTGCAACATTGCTTCTGTTTATTAGGAGAGGAATCAGAACTTTTCTTCACACATGGACAAGAATGTCCAGTTACGATTAACAAAGACTGCATCTTAATAATATAGTAATGTCTGATATAAGCCACAGAAAGTTTCTTTTTCTGAATAATGCAAGATAAGGTGGACTTTGGAACCTGTGTTAAAGGTTCAGTAAGGTTAAAAGTGTCCTAGAAATTTGGGTAAGCCGGCAAACCTTATTCTTTTCTTCACTAGTAACTTTTTGAGAAGCCATTTCTTTAAATCTTGGAAATGAGATGAGGATATTGTAAATAAAAATCAAGCTTGCTGGAAATGGAAGAATCCACCTTCCAGAGATATGTTCCTCTTGTGCTGGGATCCATTATAGGTCTAATTAGATTCAACAGGTTTTTGTTCCTGTTAATTTTCATTGAAAAAATTTAACTTCATGCAACCTTCTGGATTGAAGGACAGTATATTCTTTACATAAGAACAAAGCGCATCAGATGATCAAACCCTCATAGAGACATATCACATATCAGTATACTAAGGATAATGATATTTAAACTTATCGGCACTTTGAAAAAAATATTTACCATGTATTAGTTGAATAATAATGTTCCTTGCTAAATTTTTATATATATTTGAATTGATAAAGAGCAAGCATACTATGATATTTTTGGAGCTGTAAATTTGATAATTTTAATAGATGCAGCAATCCCTTACTACAGAAATAGATAAATTGCTTTGAAATTGTTAGTGATAATTAAGAGTAAGCCTTGTTGAAAACAGTGAGATTGAATGAATTTACATAATGAGGAGGCAACTTTCCAGTGTTTTTCAAAAGATTGAAAATTAGCTAATGGGGGGGAAACTATTACAGTATTAATTTACTTGCTAGGCCTCCCAACTTCACTCTGACTTCCAATCAGAAACCAACTTACAAAAATACAACTGACCAAAAAAACAAAAAACAAACCAACAGATGAAAACATAATAAAACGAAAAAAGGTGCCAAAATTACCCTATCCCATATGCCTGGGAGAACAGCCAGATCGTCAGTGGTTATCTGAATGATATAACAATGGGACCACCCAAATATCGGGGGAGGAGCAGGGGGAGAGATTATTCCATAATGCAATAGAGTATATTTTCCTTCAGAATGACATTCTTTAATTGACAGGATCCAGAGTGCACTCAGCTTGCGGGATCAAATCAAATAGGCAAAGATAACTTGAAGACTGTCCTTCAGGTAGCTAAGCCCTATAATATGAAGGCTTTGAAAGTGATAACTAGTGCCTTGAATTGAACAGACACGGAAGCCAACTGTCAACCAGTGCAGCTTGCAAAGTAATTGGGTCACACGTGCATAACCTGATGCCCACATCAATGTCTTTCCCATGCATTTTGAACCAGCTGTAGCCTCATAATGTTCTTTAAGGGCATCCCTGTGTAAAGCATGCTACCTTAATCCATTCATGAGATAATATGGGTACAGATGACTCTAAAGGGTCTCTTGGTCCAGGAAAATTAACAACTGGTGTATTAGATGTACTTGTTTACAGTACCTCTTGGCCAAGCTTACACATGCTTATAAACAGAAGCTAAGAGTTCAAGAGGACCCCCAGATTGCATATAAATCTCATATAGGAAAATGCAGCCTGATTTGAGAGTCAAGAAAGAATACTTCCAGATGGGGTGGGGAGGTAAATAGACATAATCTGTGGTCATAACTTGTCAGGACTGGCCCTTAATCTGTTCTTCCCCATCCAGACCTGCACTTCTTCCAGGCATTGGGTTAGGACTTCAACTGCATTTCTTGACAAGCCAGGAGTTAACAAGCACAGATGGATATTATGTTTCTGATGCTGTTACTATCGTGAAGATTTTCAGAAAGCAAAGTGTACATTAAAATATATAAAACCTTAAAAATTGATATTTTAACTGCACCACATGAATATGCTTCTAATGCATTTTTGTAATTTTTGATTAGACATCTATAGCTTTTTCAAACAGTTCTATTTAAAAATATTCTTGTTGGTATAGAGCAAAAATGTATAATCTTACCCCATTGGTATACGTGGTGCTTTTCTAAACAACATAAGGAAAAATGAGTTTATTCCAAAGTGATTATGGATTACATTCCAGTGGGGAACAGACAGATGTAACATGATCAATGTGTTAAATGTGTAGTTACAGAAAGTTTTATTTAGAACGAAGATTTTACAACTAACATAGGATTTAAGGAGAACATAGTTAATAGGCATTGATGCATAAAGGAGAACAAAAAGATAGGAAAAACAATTTTAAATAGCTGGCATTAGTTGATTCTCTTTTTCAGGTCATGTTTTGGGAATGTGGTGAAACCGAGAATATAATTTAACTTTCACTATTAAATACATTCTAAACTTTAGGAGCTGACTGGTTTCCAATGTGCTTTGTTTGATGTTGACTCGAAAGGTCCTTAGTGCTCTCTGAGCATGTTTGGTTTCTTGCAGACATTTCATTACTCAAACTAGGTAA